TTGCTTTGTGCACTGCCATATTGGAACAGGAAGGGGCCATCCCCAAACTGTTCCCACAAAGTTGGGAGCATGAAATTGTCCAAAATGTCTTGGTATGCCGATGCCTTAAGAGTTCCCTTCACTGGAACTACAGGACCAAGCCCAACCCCTGAAAAACAACCCCACACTATAATCCCCCCTCCACCAAACTTTACACAATGCAGTCAGGCAAGTACCATTCTCCTGTCAACCGCCAAACCCAGACACGTCCATCGGATTGCCAGAGAAGCGTGATTCGTCACTTCAAAGAACACGTCCCCACTTCTCTAGAGTCCAGTAGCGGCGTGCTTTACACCACTGCATCCGACGCTATGCATTGCACTTGGTGATGTAAGACTTGGATGCAGCTGCTCGCCCATGGAAACCCATTCCATGAAGCTCTCTACGCACTGGTGTTGTGCCAATCTGTAGGCCACACAAAGTTTGGGTGTCTACAGCTATTGACTCTGCAGACAGTTGTCGACTTCTGCACTGTTTGCTTCAGCATGCGCTGACCACGCTCTGTCATTTTACGTGGCCTACTACTTCATGGCTGAATTGCTGTTCCCAGTTGCTTCCACTTTGTTATAATACCACTAACAGTTGACCGTGGAATATTTAGTAGCAAGGACATTTCAACACCTGAATCCAATGATTTGGAAGGGTGTCCCAATACTTTTGGCATGTGTGTGTATACACACATATACAGTGTGGAAAAGTATTTGATCCCCTGCAGATTTTGTAAGTTTGCCCACTTACAAAGAAATGAAAGGTATATAATTTTTATAATAGGTGTATTTTAAATGATAGAGACATATCAACCAAAAATCCAGAAAAAACACACGATACAAATGTTATAAGTTAAGTTGCAGTTAAGTGAGTAAAATAAGTATTTGATCCCTAATCAAAACATGACTTGGTACTTGGTGGAGAAGCCCTTGTTGGCAAGCACAGAGGTAAGATGTTTCTTGGAGTTGGTTACCAGGTTTGCACACATCTCAGGAGGGATTTTGGTCCACTCTTCTTTACAGATCTTCTCTAAATCCTTAAGGTTTTTTGGCTGTCGCTTTATGAAACCCCCACAACTATCAGGCCAGGGTTGTGGGGAAGAGGCCCTTGTCCCGGGCATGTGGCCTGGTATGGTGCAGGTGGAGGGTCCGGTAAGGGATTTTAGGAAGGACCCCACGCTTTTTTTTTTTTAGGGTGTTTATTGAGGGAGGGGACTCCATTCTGGTTTTTTTTTTTTAATTTACAACAACACATTTTGAATGAGTCAGAAAATATTTCAGATGCATTCATTTTTTCGTTCTTAAATTTGGATGCATTCGAATGTGCAGAAATGCATCCGGATTTTAATTCGGAACGGAACTAAACGCATATGTCTAGTTATATTCTCCCCATAGCAATATCCTTAAAAAGTAAAGTGCCCTAGGTTTCAAGGATCTATACCATTGAAAGAGGTGTGTGTGTGTGTGTGTGTGTGTGTGTGTGTGTGTGTGTGTGTGTGTGTGTGTGTGTGTGTGTGTGTGTGTGTGTGTGTGTGTTTGATAT